TGCATCGGCTGTGGGGATGAAGACGACAACTCCCATGATTCCACACTCACGGCGTCATCAAACTAGCCTTTGTCTATTTGTTTATTTTGAATACGCGCCCTCTAGCGGCGAAAAATTACGTATTGTGCCTTTAAGTTGTGCACATTGAGAATAGGCTACTTTTCAGTTCCAGTTCATGATCACAGTTTTATGTTCTTAAAACTACACTCTTAAGTAAAATGGTTCTAAACAGTACCAGAAAAGGGTTCTTCGGCTTGTAACAATAGCAGAACCCTTTTTAGTGCTAAATGGATAGTTTTAATATTTATCGTGATGGGGTATGTTTATACATAAACCCAAGTAATAATAAAAAAAATCTAACAATATGAATTTAAAATTCATTGTCGCGTTTACCTACTTAGTGGAGAAGAGGAGAGAAGTTTCCACAGCTTAGCAGAGCTGCACACACTTATATGTGACCAAAAAAAAAAATATTAACACAAAGAACCATTTCAGCATGAAAGGGTTCTTCAGAATGCTATGGATATCTAAATGAATCCATTACTGCATGTAAAGAACCTTTAAAGAACCATCTTTTTTTAGAGTGTACAAAATCCTTATTTCTGTTAAATCCAGTACTGCTCATCACTCTTCCAATGGATTATGTCTTTTCCTCAGTCTCAGGCTATCCAAAACGGAGTGTCTGAGGTTATGGAGGAGGAAAGCAACTTGAAGAAACGAAAACGCGATCAACAAGGTAACCAGGGCTCTGAGACTGGTCAGGAGGTGGTGGAGAAGGTCAAAAAGCGACGGGGTCGACCTCCTGCTGAGAAGCTGCCACCCAACCCTCCCAAGCTCACAAAACAGATGAACACCATCGTAGACATGGTCATAAACTACAAGGACACGTTAGTAGTTAAACACACGGACTTAATTGGTTGTTGATGACTCTGTTTTTACTTCGTGACATGATGTAAATGGTGACACTAAAACAAAAGGATTGAGCTTTGCCAACTGTTTGAAGTTCATACTTATTCCCTTTTTGTTGGTCAGTGCATGTGTGCTGTCAGATAGCACAATAAAATGCATAATGCATTTTTTTTTTTTTTTGAATGTATCACCGTTCTACAGGTTGGGCCGACAGATCAGTAAAGGTTTCATTCAGCTGCCCTCCAGAAAAGAGGTGCCAGAGTACTATGAGCTCATCCGCAAGCCAGTCGACTTCAGGAGGATCAGGGTGAACTATCAGCGTGTTTATTCGTCATCCCACAGTCCTGGCTAATTCTTCTAAAATGTCCAATTCTCATCCGCTGCTTCCATCACCCCCTTTTCCAATAGACCTTTCTTCACTTTTTTCCATTCTTACTGTATATCCACACTGACATCCTTATTGATTTTGCTATTGTCACACAGGTTGTGTTTTTTGCTGGCTGTGTTTTAAAACGATATGAAGGAAGTAGAATTATTTTACAGATTTAATGAAAACCTGTCATTACTGTCATTAGTTTCATAGGAGAATGTGTATGGCTGTTAATATACCTTTTTGATTGTTCATGTATTCTTTTGAATCTTTCCTGGTTTTGTGTATGCAGGAGAGAGTACGTAATCACAAATACAGGTGCATTGCTGACCTGGAAAAGGATATCATGCAGATGTGCCACAATGCTCAGACGTTTAATCTGGAAGGATCTCAGGTTTGACTTATGTACATTTTTTTGTTATAAAAATACTTTGTAAATTCTTTTTTTTTTCTTTTTTGCATTCACTGTGCATTGCAATGGTACTGCAACATTTATGCAAATAGATTTAACAGGTTTTTAGATTTGTTGTTCCAAACCTGTATCATTTTCTTCAGTTGAACACAGAAGATGACATTTTGAAGAATGTTGGTAACCAAACAGTTGTCTATAGCGACTGACTTCATAAAAAAAAATGTTTTCTTTCATATTATGGAAGGCAATGGCTACCGTCAGCTCTTTGGTTTCCAACTTTCTTCAAAATATCTTCTTTTGTGCTCAACAGAAGAAAAAAAGGTATACAGGTTTGGAAAACTTAAAGGTGCGTAAATGATGACAGAAATCAAGCGTAGCATTAGTTCTGGCAGGTCACGTTAGTCAAGCTCGCGTCAGCTGGCTCTCAGCTGATCCACGTCTACCTATAGGAATACGACGCCGATCTCAGCATTCATATATAAGGTCCCTTAGTTTTATCAGCAGCTTTTGCGTTGCTCAATAGCTAATTGCCCTCCTCCATCCCCAGCTCCTCCTCTCGTCCATTCAGAATTTGGCCTTCTGATTCTCCTTTGAATCAGACTAATTTTAAAATATGTATATTAAATTATTGAACATTAATGATATCTGTAATACATATATGTTGGTTCTGTTCTGTTTACTCTGGGGGATTATCGCTACTCTCCCTGCTCTTATCCATGTTAGGCTGCATGGATGTGCAGGGAGTTCTTGCCCAGAACAGAACCATACCGCCAATCCAAACTTTATGCTAATTTGTCAATTATCTTTGATGATAGTGGTCCTGACAGGATTATAATTTTGGGGTGAACTGTCCCCACAATGAGCCTGAATATTTTTGCAAGGCACAAAGCTATTTGTGTTAGTGAATATAGCTGATGAATTGTGTGGAGATTGTTAAATGTCTCTCTATATCTTAGATCTTTGAGGACTCCATTGTTTTGAAGTCTGTTTTTGAGAGTGCAAGACAGCGAATAGTGGAACTCAGCGAGGAAGACAATGATGCTGTTGGAAGCAGTGAAGCAGATGGTGGCCAACTTTTAGATCGTAAGTCAAAATGCATGCTTTGCCTTGTCCAGTTCAACCTAAAATACAATAAATGCATAAGACACTGAATCCACATCAGTCAAATTATTAATGATAAAGTCTGTATTCTTTGTGTAGAGTGTGTAAATGTTTTTGTCTTAAAAGCTCCTGTTTTGGAATCAACAAATCCCAAACTGGATGAAAAAAAGGAGAAAAATAAAACCGATCCTAGTAATACCAGTTCAAAGGAGGTCACAAACTGTGATGAAGACCTTGGCAAAGAATGTGAGAATAACACAAGAGGACTATTAAATTAGACCCCAAATGACAGTCTGATATAAAGAACATTGTATGCCATTTTAAGAACATTGTATGGCCATTTCAGTCCAGTTTCCTTGATGTTTCGGTCAAGGAATTGCTCAGAATGTGATCTCTCATTATTATGGTTGCTTAAAACTCCTTTGTAAAACCTTTGTATTCTAAAAATAACATTGTTAATGCAGTGCTTCTGCAGTGATACATCTGAAATTGGCATTGTTTTCATGTATTTATAAAATGTAAATAAGTCATAAACCCAAAATAGATATAAAATATCATGGTAAAAAAGGTCTGTAAGTTCGGACTGCCTGAAAACTTTCACTCTTTTTTTCCTCAAGGATGGAAAAATGGTGGTATGACATTATGATATTGTATGATCATTTAAATGGATGCATTCAATCTTTCAAGATGGTATAAGCTGTGCTAAATTTGCAAACTGTATGTCTCTGTTTCAGAGAATTTTTATTCTGTGGTTTTTGTGACTATGAGCACTTTGTCATTCCCTTTTTGTATGTTTCCCTTTCCTTCATTAACTGTTAACATCTTTAAAAAAAAAAAAAAGGAACATTTTTAACCAGTAGCTCTTTATCTTTCTTTAGTTATCACAGGATCTTAACTATGTGTACATAGAGGAGTTGGGGCATGATGGCAATGTATTCTTTGGTGATCAGATACTGCCCTCAAAGAGAGGCACCTATTGATGATGCTGTCACATTTGTGTGTTCAGTTTATGATGGATGGGAGAAGTGGTGTGTTTGTGGACAGATTCTGAAATTAAAGTGTATGGGGTTTATATGATGTGAAAAGGCAAGGTTTGAGTCATCATATTACAAAAATAAAACTTTTTATGAAATCACAGGCGCTAATGTGGATCAGTTTCCTCTTTTGCTTTGTAGGTAATCAAAAGCTGTTGTAAATAAGATTTCAGATTCACATTAGGATATTTGACCTTATTAAAGCAGGTTTTATGAGCTCTGAACTGTAAGTAATGCAACAATAAGTAAGCATTAAGTTCCTGTTAGTAATTTTAGTAATCTGGCTTTCTAAATATTTTATTTTATTGATGACTTGTTACACTGATTCGTGAACAACACTTTTTTATATACAAATAGGTTTTGTTTGGTTAAATAAGGATAATACTACAATGCTACAAAGTAAAAAGCTACAATGTAATGCTACAAAATAATAATAATAATAATAATAATAATAATAATACATTTTTTAATAAAAATGTATAATTATTATTATTAATAATTGATGCATATTTAATACATTTGTATTATTATTGTTATTATATGCTGTTCAAAAATGGGGTCGTAAGATTTTTTAAAATAAATTGATACTTTTATTCAGCAGGAATGCTACATAAAAAGATTGGACAATAATAAGGGATTGAATAATACATTATTATTATTATTATTGCTTCTATCTAACCTGTTTATAAAAGTTTACATCACTCTCCACATTGTTTTCTGTCCGCTTTACTCTCCTACTATATTGAAAAATTTAAGTTGAGAACAGAGTTGTAAATCACAGATCATACGTTAATAGCTTTGGCGTTTTAGGAGGGCGTGGATGAGTCTTAAAGGGGTCATATGATGCTATTTCAATTTTTCCTTTCTCTTTGGAGTGATAGAAGCTCTTGGTGCATAAAGAAGATCTGTAAAGTTGCAAAGACTAAAGTCTCAAATCCAAAGAGATATTCTTTATAAAAGTTA